CGGAGAAGGCCCGGGCTGGGGGCGAGCGGACCCCGCAGGGTCCAGGGTACGCCCCGGGGCCGGTGGCCGTTGGCGCGGCAGGGCACAGGGGGGCGGTCTCCCCGGGACCCCACCCTGCTGTCACGGCCGAGGTGTTGATGGGGTCGCCCACCCGCGACGCCCCGGGGCGAACCCTTCTCTTTGGGGCCCATGTGGGGCGGTTGGGGCTTGACCCCGGCCAGAGGTGCCCGCCGGCCCGTCCCTCTAGCCTGCAGCCGCCGGCACCTGGCTCCGGCCTCGGGGCTCGGCCGCCGCCGGGGAAAAGCGTCCGCACGCCAAGTAGGAAAACAGCTTGTAATTTTATGAATGGGGTCCCGGGTTCCTGCCGTCCCCTTTGCCCATGTCCCGAAATGCTGGCAAGTCGAGAGCCGCAGTTACTTTTACGCGGATCTGTCAGGCTGTGTGCGCCTGGGGTTGTTTTTATCCAACTCTTGGAAATTGCGGGTGGCCGTGGGGTGGTTCGCATGCCTTAGGCATGAGGTGGCGGCGTGCGGATAGCCGGGGATCGGAAGGTTAACAAGTGACATTGGGCTGAGGCCTAAAGCCAGGTGCCCTGCTCTGGTCGCAGGTGTGACGGTGAAGGCTGTGGCTTCTGGTGAGCGCACGAAGGAAAAAGGTGAGACCGGGGGAAGGAATGAACAGCAGACTTCAGTTGCACCACGCACGCTGCCCAGAACGCACCGCTGGCGCGGGAGTTGGTGCAGGGGCGCCTTCCCCTTTTGAAAAAGGTTTTTGGAAAACTTAGCCCCTCAGTGGGTTGATGGTTATTTCATTGGTTGTTATGGTTACAGGGCATCAGATGTAAAGGCAAAGTCTGTTTCCACCCTCGCTCTTTTTCCAAGACTGTGAAGTTCTTTGTCACTCCGTTTTGTAGACATTGCTCAGGAAGGACATACTGTTTTATAGTTGAAGAAAATGCGTGGACTCCTTGAAGGCAGGGTTGGTGCCAAATTCATGTTTGAAGTCCCAAGTCTTGACACCATGGCTGCTCTGCACAAGAATTGAAGGGAACTAGTCATTTGTATGTTTTGATGATTCTCATCAAAGGTCTTAAAGGAGTCCTTTCAGGAGCCAGTTGTAAGCTGCAAAGGAAATAATGAGTGATGTTTATATGGAAACCAGTAAGGGAAAATGGAGAGGCAAATGATCCTTAAGCTCTGGGATAGGGAGTGTTTGAGGAGTCTAGGTTTGGGGGTTCAGAACTGGCTGAGACATTGAAGGTATTGGAAGAGTGAAACTGCCATTTCCCTAGCTCTTACCTAGCCATGAAAGTATTGCAGTATTCATTCAGATTCTTTCAAAAGTTGATAGTTGATCTAAACTTATGGCAAACAAGCCTCCTGAGACAATGGGGACAGAGTGGGATTTTTGCCATATAGTTTCTTTTGCATGGGCCTCTCTGGGAATGTCAGTTAAACCTAGACATGGGTGTGGAGGGCTCTGGATGAACTCAACTTGCCTGCCCATTTATCTCCAAGTACCGGTGCTGTGCCTGAGAAGGAGATTAGCAAACTGATTCAGATCAGAAGATAGATGGTGGTATAATTGAGGCAACTGACAACCTAGGGGCTGGGGCGGACGATGGGGAGGGAAAGTGCAAGAGTTTGGTTGGGCTGAATGTACTGGGCGTTGAGCTTTGAAGAGCAAGTAGAAGATCATTGTGTAAGAGAATTGGAGACATAGCATACCCCAAGCATATTGTTTGTTTATTAGAGATTATGCTTTAGAATGCTTCCGGAGAAGAAACAGGAAAGATTAGGCTTTTCGGTAGAATACATATATAGAATGTTTTAGAATTTTTGTTCAGAAAGAAATTGCTTGTAGCCAAAAGTGTTCAACTAATTTTTATTGACAGTCAGGTGTGTGCCAGAAACTATGAGGCATTATGGGTACGATGGAGGAAAAAAACCGGTCAGGAGTTTGTTTCTACATGTCATGTGATTCGCCTTCCCTCCAAGTCAAAAGCTCTCGTTTGAGGATTTGCTAAAGCTCTTGAGGAAAGAAAAAGGAAACATGCATAGACTATTACTTAACATGAGAACAAAATAGCGCAACGGGGAAATTCTTCCTGCTAAAGATCACTTTTGGTATCAAACAATTTTCAAAGACTGGTTTTCTCTGTCAGGTTTAGTATACAATTATCTTCATCCTCATATGTATTGATTAGTATCTTTTCATGGTGTTAACTTCTTGCTCTTTTTTTTTTTTCCTTTCCCCCTATCAATTCATTTAGTCAAAAGTTTGGAAGTTCATTAAACAAATAGTGTTCCTGTCCTGAGCTTCCAGTTCATTTTCTTTGCCTGGGTGTCCCTCTGGGTCTACTTTCTTCTGTCTGATCTTTATTCTCTCTTGAGGGTCCCCCTTGGGAATTGTTGAGGTCACAGGGAATGTTTGTTCTTTGATTCTGTCCCAAAGCAGAAGCAGAAGGCAGCTAGTTTAGAAAAGAGTATTTGTTCAAGTCCAACTCTGCCATGTACTACTTTCTCCCCGTATATTTAAGAGGGAGTGTTGAGGAACCCTTCTCTAAGGGAGCTGGATAGTGGTAGCCTCATTATACAGAAGAGAAAACTGAGGCTCAGAGCAATTTAGAAACTTGCCCAGGATGTTAAACTGGTTAAATGGTGGAGCAAGAATTTCAGTCTAGGTCTTCCTGATTCTAAAACGTGCTTTTCCCATTGTACCACATTGCTTTTCCCAGGAGAGAAACAGCAGTTTATTCGAGATAGTCTGGCATAGTGCCTTCCTTGGACATATGAGATGTTCAGAGGATTGCTACAATTAGTATGTTCATGGTGGAGCAAGAGTTAGCACCCCATGTCCTGCCTCTTTGCCTGGTACATTTTTGGGTAATTCACATGGCCATCAGGAAATCTGAGTTTACTGCTGTGAAAAGGTGACTAGATTCTGTACTCTACTGCTTCCATTTACCGACACTGTGACCATGGGCAAATTATTTGTAAAATGGGACAGTGTTCACATTTCAGCAATGCTATGACAATACAATTTGTGTCAACATTTCTGGGGAAAAAAGTGTCTTATAATCTATGGGGTCTCACGGTGTAGTTGGCAGTGACTTTCTTTTTTTATACATAAAATAATGGTGTATCCTAGAATTAGTGGGGTCTTAGATGAACTATGGTAGTACATTCCTCATAGGTAGTTGTGAAGATTATGTGAAGTCACTCATGTGTCTGGCACATAGGGAGCACCCAATAGCAGTTGATGCTGTCGAATGACAGAGCATACAGGTAAACTGATAGGTGGCTCTGGGGAGCATCTGGTAAGATTTGCCACTCAGAGCCCAGGCAGTAATCTATGATCTGTGGGGCAGAGAAATGGTTTTACAGTTAGCCTGGAGCTCTGTCCTTTGGCTGATTCTTGTCCCTGTGAGAAGCATTAACTTTAGGAGCTAACGAGCCATGGATAGACAGCTCCCTTTGTCCTGCGTATTCATTAAGGTCTTTGTCAACTTTAAATCCCAAGTTAAAAATAAATATCGTTATGAGAAGATTGGAAACCTATGCTGATGTGAATACTCTTACATGTGAATTTTAAAGCACCTCAAGGTTATATATGAGATTATGTGTTGCCCCTTTCCAAACTTTATAATGTTTAATTGCTTTTGGTGAAATGTCCATGAGACACCACTAATCAGAAGGATGCTAGGAGGTCAAGAAGTTATGGAAACCCTTGATTGGCACTGGGTGAGGTAGAGAAAGCACTGGAGTTGGCATGAAGAGGCCTGCTTCCAGTCCTGGGAGTTTCACCTGTTACTCTGTTTATCCTGGGGGTTTGTCCTGTTACTATGTGTGTTCTTGGGCATATCAGTTCACCGCTCTGGGCCTTGAGGGTCTCTGTTCCAAAATGAGGACTTGATTTCTTAGTTTCCTCCCTCTACTGTCTGCAACATAGTGTTATAGATTATGCAAGTTTATGAGTCTTAGGATCCGATAAATTAAATGGTTGAAAGGAAATTACTTTCATTCTGGACTCTCGGAGGCTCAGTTGGATGTTTGTGATATTGCTTTGTAAAGCAAAAAACAGTAGACAGGTGGTAAGAATTTGAGTAACTATCATTTATGGAGAATTGCTGAGTGCCAGCCACTGTTCCTTCTTCTAAAACTCTGATCACCCTATAAGTAGTAGATACTATTGTCAATCTTATTTTAAGATGCGGGAACTGAGGCTCAGAGAAATTAAGTAACTTGTTCAAGATCACAAAGCAAAGACAAGGGCTTGTAAATAGACTAGAACTCAGGCTTATGTTGCTCTCCAGTATAAGTTCTATGGTTGTTTCAGGTGGACCCTGCTTTGTCCTGGACAGCTCTCAAGCTATGCACCCTGTGAATTTTCCCAGTTTAAAAAGTAAGATTCCCCCTGCTTCGAGGTCACAAATCGCTAAACTTTCATTGAGTACTGACACCTGTTTAAATTCTGAGTTCTCGTTCAGGATATCTGCTGGGTATTGGGAGACCTTTGTTACACCTGCAGAATAACCCCTATGGGAGCTGTGGAGGACTTAGGTCCTGGGATAGAAAGTTTTCTTTGGTGACCAAAAACCATAGGCCAGGTCACTGCGAGCATAAGTGGGGCTGTTTTGAGAAGAATCTAACCTTTTGGTGTGAAAGTTGATAAGATGGGAAAGGTGGCTGGGCTTCGAAACAACCAGGTAACCTGTGTCTGTTGGGTTTGCCTGGACGTTGGTTCTGAGGGCTCTCCCCTATGAAGATGATTGGAACCAACTGAGTGCCTTTCTGGCTTATCCTAGCAGTTGAGAATGGCGTGGGGCGGAAGGAGCCCTCTTCAGTCATAAGCTTATTTAGGATTTGAGATTTAAATCCATCCCTTGGATTGCTCCTGCAAATAACCTTTCAGAATCACAATGTGCATTTTATGAGTTTTATTTCTCTTTTGTTACTTAAAGCTGACATAAGCTAGCCAGTTCTCTTCCTCACTTTTAAGTTCTCTCTTACGTCTAATGCTGTCTTTTAGGCAGAGTTCCTAAAGCTGCTTATATTTATTATTTGGGGGCTTGAAATCAAGAATTTAAAAACCCTTCACTGAAGAGAATTTGAGCGTCTGTTGGAGCCAAGCATTGTGTTTAGCATTGGAAATCCTGTAGGAGCAAAACAGATGTGTCCTTGTCAGCACATAGCACATTATCTAGTTTAGACAATAAATAAGTCAACAGACATATGCATTGTATATATTAAATTGTGATAACTGTGAAATCTTCCTCAGAAGAAAAACAGGGCACTGAGAAAGAATAAAGGGAAGGAGCCACCAACTGGGAGTGTTGGGAAGAGCATTTCAGGAGAGGGAACATCTGGAAAGTAGGGCGGTGGCGAGGAGGGGCAGAGAAGAGTGGGGTGAAGATGGGACAGGCAGGCAGGCAGGCATGTCACAGGGAGAACAGCACAGGGTGGCGGTGAAGACCTGGGGCTCAGGAGCCAGACACAGCTTGAGGGGCCTTGGGAATTGCTTAACCTCTCAGTGCCTCAGTTTTCCACCTCCAAGTGGTTGTGAGGGTTGAATGAATGAGTGTCTGCAAAGCCCTGAGAGCAGTGCCTGGCTCGTACAAGAACGGCTGTGGGTAAGGGCTTGCTGACTCTCAGG